TCCATAGATAAATGAATAGAAAAGATAAGAGTTTAGAAAACTTCAACAAAAGGTGGAAGACAATCTTCAATCTCAAAAAACTCTCAAAACAAAGTATCGATCTCTCTTTCTCACTTGTGTACTCTCGATTTCTGTTGTTTGGGTCTCCCCGTTTTGAAAAAGGATCGAAAATATTCTTAAATAAGAGTCTGGGGCGGCTGGGATTGATTAGGGAAACCCTAGGTGGCAAAAATAGGTTTAATGAAAATTTTCAAAACTGGATCTTTTGCGGAGCAGGTCTAGTGATCGGGAGATCCAATTTCCCTCCTTTTTGACCAAGTCCCATTGTGAGTTCCAATCTTCCATTCCAGCCTCCTTTTGACCTAAAATGACTCAAAGTAAAGCAAAAGATTAGATAAAAACCTACAAAACAAAGGTTAGAATGCGCCAAAAACGCATTATATCACACTACTAATCATATAATACTCTAATGGATAATCCTTATCCATATGGATGATTATCCATTTATAACAAAGTCTCGTTTTTTCTTTTGTTTTTGTTTTATTGCTAGTTTTTACAAGTATTAGAAGAGATATTGGCAAATCAAGCCATAAACAAAAAAAAATTGGTCATGACCATATAATTTGATGGCTATGATATTTCTTATATATACTATAATAAAAATTACGAATGTTACCATTTATTTCAAAAATCATTTTTAGACTATCACTTTTTCATTTTCATTTTCCCACATTCCTCAATGTCCACATAGAAAGACGATTATATTCCTTCCCACATGCCTCGAAATGATGATGAAGAAACATATAAAAGCATTTTCATTAGGGATCTCTAATTAAAAATAAATCAAATTAAAATTAATAGAGTTTTTTAATAAATTTTGTTGAGATACGGTTGAGAGAATTTTTCATTTGAAATACCTTTGAGACACTTTCTCTTTCTTCTAAAACTTGACACTTGTCAATTTTATGATTGGTTTATATTTTTTATGTCAAATCATATTATATATAGTTTAACATATTAATTAAATAGTTTATATGTTTATATGTTTTTATTTTTTACATTTTTATAAATCATAAAATAAAATTATCTATATATATATATTATTTTTTTGTTAACAGCATTATAAACTAAATTACGACTTATTGGTTATCCAATCTGGTGGTGATGAGTTTACATAGGAACTAGCATAATTAAAAATCCGTGCACAATTCGCTAGCCTGTCAACTCTAGAATATTGTGTGCACGGGATAAGCGAAACCAAAAAGTAACTAAACTTCTCTTGTAGATTCTTCAAAGCTTCTAGTTGTACGCCAAACACC